GTATGATGGTGTTAATGGTGACAATCATGAGGGGTACGATGATAATTATGGTGATGATGGTGGGCCAGCGTTTGTTTTTATTTCATGCTCAGAAACTCAATTAACAATAGAATCTACATTTTTAAAAAAACCAGGAAATTACAGGAAAAAAATTACATAATATTAAACATTCTCAAATACAAAGAAAAACATCAAAAAGTAAAAAGAAATTACAGTTCAACCAAAAAAAATAAACAAATAAATAAATTAACAACAAAAGAAAGAAAGATATCTCCAATCATACAATGAACCACATGAAAAACGAGAAATAATAGTAATAAAGATAATATAACTGATAAGGTCAGAGTGCATTGGATGACCCTTTAAACCACCGGAAGTTTGTTTCCAAAGGGTCCAGAAAAAATATTAATTAAAAGTAAATTTTAACAAAAGTAAATAAATATGTAAATAAAGTGACAAAAAAATTACTGTATATATTTTATGAAACAACATAACGAGCATCTTAATCAAATATCAAGTTTCTGTTTTTGGGACGAATACATTTTAACTTTGTTTTAAAGCACTTCTGACACCAATAGCCCTGATATTTGTGGGTAAACTATTCCATAAATGTATACTGTTAAAACCAAAAGCGGTGATATAAGTGTTTTTTTTTTATGCCCCTTGGAAAATCTGAGTGTCAATCGGAAACCTTCCTAAACTCATTTAGCATTCTGGTGCAATACCATGACAGGTATATCAAATATAACGATATAGTTGTATTGCTTTAAACGATATTCAACATTTAGAAAGCCTACTAAATGAAGATAACAAAAAATACGATAATAAGATGATATCTTTGACCTTTACCCCGATATTCCACAACATTTTGTTTTTTGCACGCTAAATCCTGATTAAATTTGCTTAAAAAATACCATTACGAGGCCGCAAGAAATAGTTTGACTTGTCCGGTTTTTGCCTGATCAATTCACCAATGTCGTTGGTATGCCAAAATTGTTCTTTTGAATCAACATTTTATTAAACACAATTGCAGTATGGCCTGACTTAAGCTTAACTCTCAAGCATCCAGGTCCGGCTCTTCTCAATGT